CGTAAAACTCCACATTGGTAAGTCGGTGTACGTGACATGTTCAGTCATGTAAAACTCCATATTGTTAAGTCAATGTTCATGACATGTTCAGTCATGTAAACTCCACATTGGTAAGTCGATGTACGTGACATGTCCAGTCATGCAAACTCCACATTGGTAAGTCGATGTACATGACATGTCCAGTCATGTTAAATTCCACATTGGTAAGTCGATGTACGTGACATGTCCAGTCATGTAAAACTTCACATTGGTATATTGATGTGCGTGATATGTCCAGTCACGTAAAGCTCCATATTGGTAAGTCGATGTACGTGACATGTCCAGTCACGTAAAACTCCACATTGGTAAGTCGATGTACGTGACATGTCCAGTCACGTAAAACTCCATATTGGTAAGTCGATGTGTGTGACATGTTCAGTCATGTAAAACTCCACATTGCTAAGTCGATGTGTGTGACATGTTCAGTCATGTAAAACTCCACATTGGTAAGTCGATGTGCTGACATGTTCAGTCATGCAAACTCCACATTGGTAAGTCGATGTACGTGACATGTCCAGTCATGTAAAACTTCATGTTGGTAAGTCGATGTACGTGACATGTCCAGTCATGTGAAATTCACATTGGTATATTGATGTGCGTGATATGTCCTGTCACGTAAAGCTCCATATTGGTAAGTCGATGTACGTGACATGTCCAGTCACGTAAAACTCCACATTGGTAAGTCGATGTACGTGACATGTCCAGTCACGTAAAACTCCATATTGGTAAGTCGATGTGTGTGACATGTTCAGTCATGTAAAACTCCACATTGCTAAGTCGATGTGTGTGACATGTTCAGTCATGTAAAACTCCACATTGGTAAGTCGATGTGCCTGACATGTTCAGTCATGTAAAACTCCACATTGGTAAGTCGATGTACATGACCTGTCCAGTCATGTAAAACTTTATATTGGTAAGTCGATGTACGTGACATGTCCAGTCATGTAAAACTCCACATTGGCAAGTCCATGTACGTGACATGTTCAGTCATGTAAAACTCCACATTGGCAAGTCCATGTACGTGACATGTCCAGTCATGTAAACTCCACATTGGTAAGTCGATGTACATGACATGTCCAGTCATGTTAAACTCCACATCGGTAAGTCGATGTACGTGACATGTCCAGTCATGTAAAACTTCATATTGGTAAGTCGATGTACGTGACATGTCCAGTTATGTAAAACTCCACATTGGTAAGTGGATGTGCATAACATGTCCAGTCATGTAAAACTCCATATTGGTAAGTCGATGTGCATGACATGTCCAGTCATGTAAAACTCCATATTAGTAAGTCGATGTACGTGACATGTCCAGTCACTTGAAACTCCATATTGGTAAGTCGATGTGCGTGACATGTCCAGTCATGTAAAACTTCACATTGGTGTTGATGTGCGTGACATGTTCAGTCATGTAAAACCCAATATTGTTAAGTC